CTGAGTTAAGCTTAATCCGACTTGTGAATTCTGGTTTGAATGATTCCTCCCACCTATACAAATCGGTCCTTCTGGAGAGGCGATGCGAGGTCCGCACGGCCTTTACCTAGTTGTTTCACTGTAAAGTGTCGATGAAATATCCTACAAGCGTATGAATGGATCGATACGAATCGATAAAGGTTGCGAATGGTCATTTGTTAATTTTGGACATGAAATTAAATGAGAAAAAAATTTTAAGGTACGAAAATTGGAAGCAATCATGGCCAATCATTTAAATTGAAAGAAAGTAAAGATGAAGACAAATTTGCAAGAACATTGAGTTCTTTGTTTGATTGGAGCTTTATAAAGAGTACACTTGAAGTATTTATAACCCTCTACCAATGATTATAAACGGGGGTTACATACAACAGTTATTGAAGAAGAAAGAACTTTATAATCCTATCGGTGGTTACAAAAAGTTACATAATCTCCTATTATCTAGCAATAGCTATCCACAAAGAGTTACATATCAGAAAAAAATAGTTACTCAGCAGTTACATGTTGATATCGATGTTGGTGACTTCATTCTTGGTGAAAGTTTTCGTCGATAACTGATATTTGCTGTCGATAACTTCATTAGAATTGTCAATTCTTTTTAAGTTGACGACTGTTCTATTCATCAATGACTTCCTCATACCGAACTGCTATTATCGATGAAGTTTGTCACTTGTCGATTATAACAAAAAATTAGTCATTTTTGGGTGGCAATAAATACCCCATTTTAAAAGAATGGAATGATATGTTTCTATTAAATTAGATTATCAAGGGTCACTGTATGCCTCATCGGCAAATTTGATTTTTTCCTTGACGTACTGTTTCTTGAACTGTTTTCTTGAAAAAAAATACAATCAATTGTGCTATGGTTCCATGAACGGTGCCACTTGCAATATTTTTTGTTTACTAAATCTTCTTTACTTGGGAAAACTTGGCCTTCCATTAATTTTATCAGGCCATCTTTTAAGAGTAAATCGAAGATTTTGTCCAACTTATTTAGTGTCGAACGAAAGCTTGAGTGTCTTTAGCCCTAACCATTCTTTTTTCTTTTCTTTTGGCAGGTTTTAAGAATCGACAAATATAAGGCTTGTTGAGCACCATTTTCGTAACATTTATTTTGGAAGGCTTTATCTCTACGTCTTTTAACAATTGCTCATACTTAGACACCTCGTTGAAAATTGAAATAAATCGGCAAAGTCTTGGCCTCAAATCTTTCTCACATGTTAAATTTGAACCCATTGTAAGCCAAATTCGTGAATGTTTTATCTACGAGTGAACTGAGGCATCTATTTTTAACCTTATTAAACCAAGCAATAAACTATTCGACCGACTTACTATTGTATTAAAAAGTCTAGCCAAATCAGCAACCAATACTTCATATATGTTCTATTAAATTGAGAATGTAATTTTCTTTCCATTTTTGCCCAACTACACTCGGAATTAGGTGTTAAATTATTATACCAGGTATAAGAAGTATTTGACAAAAACAAAGGAAATAATCTAAGTTTTAAAAAGATGTTTTACTAAAAACTGTCGATAAAATATCATTCAAGAATAAGGATGAATCCATATAAATCGACAAATGTTGTGAAGGTCCTCTATTGATTTTGATTAGGAAAGTAAATGACAAAAAATTTTGAAGGTACGAAAACTAGAGGCAGTTGCGTCCAATCATTTAAATTGTAGAAAAGTAATAATAAAGATAGTTTGCGAGAACGTTGAGTTCTTTTATTGGTCGAGCTTTACAAAAAGTACACTTGGAGTTTTTTATAACACTCTACCGGCAGTTATAAATGGAGGTTACATTACGGTTATAAAAAAAGAAATAACTTCTTAATCCTATAAGTGGTTACAAGAAAATACACAATCTCATATTATCTAATAACACTTATCCACAAAAAAATTTACATATGAAAAATACCGCTACTCGGCAGTTTCACGTTGATGAGTTCATCTCCAGTGAAGGTTCTCGCTGATAACTGATATTTGCTATCGATAACACTATAAGAGTTGTCAATTCTCTCCAAGTTATCGACTGTTTTATTTATCGATGACTTTTAAACTGCTGTTATCAACTAAGTTTGTCATTTGTCGATTATAACAAAAAAATTAGTTCTTTTTGGGTGTCGACAACGATCAAGGTTAGGGTTTCAAGGTTTGCACGATGCGAGGGTCACACAAAAACCTTGTGGCGGTTGGTGAGTAATGGACAAAACTAATTAAAAATCGTCGAAATCATTATCATGTAATAGTCAAAACTTACTTTCTACACAGTTCTTTTTCTTCTTTTGTTCCCTTTTCCTTGGCTTTTTTCCGGCTTGTCTGTTGTGTAAATGGCGAGTTTCATTTTTCTCGACAAATCCTTAAAGTTAGCGGGTGAGCAATCAGGTCGATTCAACACAGAATCAAATTGAACTTGCCTTACCCAATTGAATCCAAGTTGGTTCACACTAGATCAGTTTGGTTCCTGATTCTTGGCCTTAAATCAGTTTTGAACCGGTTTCAAGGCCGATTTTCAGATAGAACCAATTTTTAACTAGTTTAACACTAACTTTATGAAGAAGCCGCCTCTTGGATGCTCTTCACAAGGAAATCATAGTTCGTATGTATAAAAGATTTAGATCCATAGTAGAAACCTACTAAAATGAGGGAAGTTTCATTTTCGGGTTTAAAGTCAAGACATATTTTCAATAGGTCAAATCTCAACATATTTTAAGACGACTCGCTTTATAATCCCGACCAGTTTTGCCCCGGATCCGAATGACCCAAACTCGGACCCACCCAATTGGAAGGTCTAGAACCCATTCTACGAATCGTGTGGTGCAAACGAAATAATTTCGTTCTAGCGCAAATATTACCCGTGTACTAACATTTTCTAATCTAATGCCGACCGGAGTAAAATTCACAGATTCTTGTCATGCGATTGACATATTTTAATAGAATCGAGTGGGTCTAAGCTTTACTCAGATTTACATAGGATGCTTTAATGACTTTCCCCACACGTATAACTTAGTCGATTAATCGTAACCATAAAATAAATCGATTTTGTTAAAAATGTTTAAATCAGAATGATTGACTTTCTTTGCACTACTAATAAAGATGAAGACATGGTAGTGTGGACTGATCCTTTGGAAGGAAGCAAGCGTCGTTATCTCTCGTCACCGACGCATTTCGTGATGGCAATTACGTTCCTTTTCGGACATCTTCATTCCCGTAGCCATTCTTGCAATGATTCGCGGTTCAGGACAACAGCATTAGTTCCATTTCCACGTTCTTTTGCTCCCACGTCCTTTTCTCCCGCTCTTCAAGACGTGCGAGTGTGAATATAATCAACCCTAATGACAATTTCAAGTTGAATAGAATCGACCCCTCGACTCGAATTGTTTTCTCTTCGCGAAAAATGAATTTGTGTCATTTCGACCGCATCGTTCTCAAATCAATTTTCTAGCTTTGACGAGGAAATAAAAGAAGAAGAAGAAATTCGCTTCGTAGTGAGCAGATGAACGACTCCGCTAAATGATCTATTGGTGCTATGAGGGTCTCCGACAATCCATGTCCACAAAAGCGAGAGGAAAAAAATGTGTAAGAGAGATCAACTATTCTTACGAATTGGATGATGATGTGGCGAAGCACAAAAAGTTGGAGACCATATAATGACTTTTTAGATGGGGTAATTGTCCAAAAAGTCTCAAATCTATTATACGGTGGCTAATTCAGTCATAAACTTTTTAATTGTACCAATTTAGTCCTAAACCTTTGGGAAAATTTCAAATATGGGCTCGCAATGCTCTCATTTTCTCAAATAAGGGTTAATGATCGGCGACGGAGAACAAAAAAAGAAATGGACAATAGAAATGGTAAAGAAGAAAAGAAAAAAGGAAAAAAATAAAAAAAATAAAAGGACGAATATACCATTGATTTTTTAGCGAGGTCAGGCCCTTTTTTAAGAAAATAATAGCACTTCAGGCTATTATTTGAAACAAGGTGCACTTCAGGCCCTTATTTAACACAATATCCACTTTAGTCCCTTATTTGAGTAAACGAGGGTACTTCAGGCTTTTATTTGGAATTTTCCCTAAACCTTTTTACGATTTGCCTATTTAATCCTAAAATTTTCAATTGTGCAAATTTAGTTTTAAACCTTTATACGATTTGCCAATTTAATTCTAAACCTTTCAATTGTGCTTATTTGATTTTAACATTTTAACTATTTGTCAATGTAGTCCTAAACCTTTTTACAATTTGCCAATTTAGTTCTTCCGGCCAATTTTAGGTGAAAATCGCTGGCATGGTGGTCTACTCAGCACCAACCATTCTACATGGCATGGTTAGTGCTAACATGGACAATTTTTGCAATTATAATTTTTTGAATTTTTTTATTCTTTGATTTTTTTTTGCAACTCTCAGTCAGTGACCATTGTCTAGTCTGGGCGAGGGCGTCGCGACCCTCGCTGACCGACAGGAGAGGCCTAGATCAAGGCGAGGGTGCCGGGCCCTCGCCTGTGGGCGGCGACTTCGCCAACCTAAAGTTGCAAAAAAAGAAACAAAGAAAAGGAAAAAAACAAGAACAGTAATAAAAATTTCATAAAAAATTATATAAAATTGTTCACATTAGCGACGGTTATGTCACGAAGGACGACCGGAGCTGACTAGACAACCACGTCAACAATTTGGCCACAAGGACTAAATTGGCTAAAAAGGTTGAAGACTAAAGTGGCAAAATTGAGAGATTTAAGACTAAATTGACGCAATTGAAATGTTTATGACTGAATTGGCAGCCGTGTTTAAGATTTTTTTTGACAATTTTCCCCCTTTTAAATGCCAAACCATCTTATGTTTAGTATCATTTATGATGCATTTTTTTACCTCGTTTTTTCATTTCCCTTTATTTAGTATGTGAATATTTCAAATTACCAGTTCTTATTTAACTCTGCAATAGAAACGCCCCCGACTGGATGCATCTCAGGTGGCATTGTATAAAATCGCAAATCGCGAATCCAGTTCGAAAAGCAGAGGAGTGACCCTGTAAGGCTGTAACCCATATCACACGGATTGAATCAGTCTTCTTCGCCCTCGTTCTTTGACTTTAGAATTCGTGACTCGCAAATTCGCAGTTCACATCTCTCCCTCTGCTTTTTAGCCGTTTCCTTTCTCGAATTCTCCAAGGAGGGCCAGTTTCCATCCTTCCCTTTTGGCCCTCGCCATCATATCACGGGTGGCCTCCCCAAGAACTTTCCCAGATCTCTGAAAGTCAAAAACGAAATTCCCCTGTTCTCGTCGCCTGCCGTGTCGATGATCCATCGAAATTCTTGTTTCTTCTCCCCTCTCGGCAGCATTGTCTTTCTAATGGGTAATTCAGTGCAGAGAAACAGAGTGTCCAACTGGGCCGGATGGGATCGATTCTGATTGGCTTCAGTGCATCAGAATTACAGAGATCATTTGAGGGAACCAAACTTTGAAGGTGGTTCAGTTTGAATTAACCCAAGATCTGATTTTGTTTTATGGTCTTCCCTTCTGTCGTCTGAGTTTTTTGGAACTTTCAATCTGCTTCTATAGCTTGATCACTTTCTTGTTTTTTGATAATGCTTTTATTATTTCCTCGAGGAAGTGCTGTGTTTTTTTAATGGAGTCTGCAGCGGAACCTTCCCCTTCCAGCTCATTCAGCTGGGAATGTCTGTTTTATGAGTATTACTAAGGAAACGACCCCTTTATTTATTGTACCCTTCTTTGTATAACCCCCGTGTTCTTTTTATTCAAGTCACTTGTAACCTCTGTTCCATTGCTTTTCAGTTCGATTTTCGCCTGTTTTCCGGGTGTGCGCGATGGGTTGTGCCAGCTCGAAGCAAAAGCGATGTCGGCACTGCAACACGCCATACTCGCCTGTGCGTCGGAGCTATTCGATCCACGGCGATCATCTGCCTCAGAGAGATGATAGCTACCATCTTGTTGCTCTTAAATCCAGCACGCTCGGTTCTCTCATGCTTGACCCTTCTTATCAGATCACCGACCACGTGGAGAAGGTGATGGTGAGCGATGGTGCTGATCACAAGATGTGCAATGGGAAAAATGGTGTCATTGAAAACGGGGTGAAGGAGTTTGCAATGGGACTGATCGAGGCCAAGACTTGGTCGAACATGATCGAAGAGAAAATCCCGAAAGTCGTCCCAAAAACACCAATTAGGACTCCGCCCGGCGAGCCGGAGACGATCAATACGTGGGAGCTGATGGAAGGCCTGGAGGACACAAGCCCTTTCCGGTCGCCGAATCACATAAGGAGCTTTTCTTTCGATGTGGTCAGGAGTCCAGTTCATGCCCCGACGGATTGTCCTAAATCGAGGTTTCAAGAGGATGTTGCGGTTTCCTCGAAGCCCATGTGGCTGCAAATGGCTGATGGCAACGGATTGGACTCCGAGGCTGTGGTTGTGGGTTTCGATCCTGAAGTCATTTCCACTTTCAGGAAGTCACTTGAAGAGCTCTCGCCTGATCATCCGTTTCATATGCAGTCATTGGATAATCAGGAGCGACCGTCCATGGCCGGCCATGATTTATTGCCTAAGGAAGCCACTGAAACTGAAATAGCAAATGGGACTGACCACAAGGGTTGGCCATGTGGAAAGGAGAAGGTGATCGTCTACTTTACGAGTCTTCGAGGGGTCAGGAAGACATACGAGGATTGCTGTCATGTTAGAGTCATCTTGAAAGGCATCGGTGTCCGTATTGACGAGCGAGACATGTCAATGCATTCCGGTTTTAAGGAAGAATTGAGAGAGCTGTTGGGTGATGGGGCCTGTGGGGGTGGATTGCCGAGGGTGTTTGTGGGAAGCAAGTACATTGGCGGAGCCGAGGAAATCCGGCGTATGCACGAAGAAGGACAGCTTGAGAAATTTCTCGAGAACTGCAAAATGGTGGATGATGGTGGCAGTGGCAATGGAAACAATGGTGCCTGTGAAGCATGCGGCGATATTAGGTTTGTGCCTTGTGAGAGGTGTTCCGGAAGTTGCAAGATATATTACGACGGCACCAGTGAAGAAGAGGCAGAAGAAGAGGGAGACGAGTACGGGTTCCAACGTTGCCCGGATTGTAATGAGAACGGTCTTATACGCTGTCCAATATGTTGCTATTAGCTTCGGGTGGCGATGGCAACGTATTGCCCCACGCATATTTGCAAATTTTGGGTGTTCTTTGTTTGAGTGAATTCTTGTACAGAGAGAAGACGATAGTTTTTTAAGGGAGATTACACGAGGAAAAAATTGTTATAGAAGTTGATCTTCAAATCACATGATCTGTTCAATTCTGCTTTTCTATTTTGTGTGGCAGAGATTGTACACTTGCTCTATGTTTTTACCAAAAAGAGGTTTGTACGCTTCCTTTCTTTACCCAAGAATATCCAGCTAACAATGCGTAAAAAGTTGGATGAGATTGTCTAGTTCTGACACAAACGGTGAAATTTGATGAAGTTTGTACAAGGACTTGCAGAGGTTAAATGCTTGCCACTCTTATGACTGGAGTTTTCTGTTGAATAACATTTTTTGCCAACTCTTCATGAAGTTTCTTCAAATGTGTGGAAAAGTGGCCTTAATGTGGTAAATTAGTGATATATCTGAGGGGTCAGCACAACCAACCCAAGGCACCACATAAGAACAGTGACAGATGCTGCAGATCTGACCGTCTCATGGAAGATAAGAAAAAAGGACTTGGGAGACACCAAATTCCACTTCGTTGATTGTTCCTAAAGCGATGCTTTGATTATGTTGGAGTTGTTCAGGTCTCAATATTTAATATTTCGGACATAGAACTGTTGACTTCTTTGGTTGCACCGAAATGCAATCTAGAACTCGTCTAATTCTGCTGAAGAAAGTATTGAGAACAGATTGGACAAGCAGATTAGGTGAACAACGCAATCTGGGGTCAGCCTTGGCGGTGACTATAAACTAAAGAGACCCGGTCAATCCAGTTTCTCTGAACACGTTTCATGAGGCAAAAGATGGAGAGGTTGAATAAGTAGTTGCCTCCATTGCTGTCTCCGTTAAAGATGGGGAATACAATTCTCTAATGAAATATACAAAACCACCCAACATTCAAGCTTTCTCTGAAATCGTGCCATTTGGAAATTATAATAATACTCTCGAGTTTCTCTTTTGTTTAGCTTTCTCTGAAATCATGCCATTTGGAATTATTAAATTCCCAAGCTTCACGTTCAAGCTGGTCCCAGAAAATAAAAAGGACCTTTATGTTAGGGGGCAAAAAAAAGGACGGAAACTGGCGAATTTGACCCACGATATCCCGGACTCCGCCACTAGTGGCCGCCGAAGAAATTGATGATTTGAGTTTTTTTAACTCCGATACGAGAATATAGGGCGGCGCATATAGTCTTGTTAGCCACAAAAGTATGCAATGAATAAAGGCATTGCATATTCATATGATGCCACTCAGAAAAAGGTGAAGCGACTGGGGTCTCTCATATTAATATTACCAACTGAGCTGTGCCAAGATGTGAATCTTCTTTTACCTTTTCTCTTTATCTTTTCTCTTTGTTCTGCCTTTCCTTTGCGTATAAACACCTTCTCAACCTTCTTGGATCTCATGTCTGATAATAATTCGTCGCAGCATGTCCGTGTATGTTCATTCGGGCCCGAAACAAAGAATAGCACAAGCAGCTAAAGGACAGTCAGCAATTTAATTATATCTCGTCCTGATGGTAGAAGACAGTTGAGAATTGTCCAACGGCAAATTCTAGTGCTGGACCACTCCCTCCTACCACATTCATGATGAACAAGATAAATTGTCAGATGAAAAGAGTAAGCGACTACAATTAGATGCTTTTCCAATCCGGTGGTCATCACTCACCAACATTCGACCACGGGATAGAAATTGGATGCCTCTGTTTAGAACAATAGCTGTAGCACGAATCCTCGTGACCCTATCAGATGAGAGAAGTCTACGCAAGAGGAAGGACTAAATAACGCTGCCTATAAGGTTCTTTTGTCTCGTCTCTTTGTGGGCATTTTAGCCAAATGAGTTAGTGCAGTCTAGCACATCTCAAAGTATATGAGCATGTCATGTCTTCATGCTGCTAGCTTCTTGCCAAATAGAGCGATAAATGATTGACGATTGCATGTTTCTAAGAGTTGTTAAGCAAGCAGTGTTCCAACTGGAGATGCACAATTCCATGACTAACTCGCTACGCCTACCAACTAGACCTTCCATACGTGAAACAACGTGTGATCAATGGTGTTCTGGAGCTAGAAAACTATAGTGGGTTATGGGAGAACAAAGAAAAGAAGCAATGCAAAGTCAATTAGTGGCAGAGCACTTCAACGACAGATCATTTACCTTGTAATGTGCAGGATCATTCAGGGAAGAAACCGGTTTTCAGCTATCACTTAAATAAAAGAATATTGCCATCCCTTAAATATGGAAGGAACCACTTTGAAACCACAGTTGGGAGATGGAGATGCTCAATTGGGGAGAAAAACACTACAGGGAGAAGAGAGGAAAAATGTCACTGTATAAAGTTCAGACATCAGAGCATCTCAAGGAGTGGCAGTCAACTGTAGGGGTCTCATGTCCAGTGCAATTGCCTTCTAAGACCAGTCAGCTGCTTAGCTTTCATATGTCATGCTAATTATCTGGTCATTCTCCAACTCATCCTCTTACAACTTTACTCTTCATAAAGCATCGTCATACATGACACCCACAAGTTCAGATATACAATGCATTAGGCATAATTTAGACATCTTATAGGAGACAATGTCCGGCGCAGTGATCCAAAATCACCAAGTTCTTATTGAGTTTCATGAACACAAAAGGCTGAACTATGCACAACCAGACTAAAATGTCTACAATTCAATTGCTATCATAAGGGCATACATACAACTGCTGAGAGAGCAACCACCATTACTTATTCATTATCTGCATAACCGTGATGGGTCAATATGTTTTATGAACTTAAAAGATTCTTATCTTATTTACTACCATGGTTAGCCAAGTCAGACGCAGCTTTAGCCGCTCGATTCAGGACATCCGAAACCCAAAGAGCTCCCCTCGAGAAGTAGCTGCTGTTAACAACTGCATGAGCGGCTGATGCAGCCGCTTCTCCCGTGACTGTTGCCGCAACAACGGCGGCAGTTCCTGTTGCGAGGACTGCTGATCTGGTGATATCTGAAATGTGGTACTTCTCGTCAACGGATCTCACGACTTCCCTGCCTGCGGTTATCTTATCGGTGAGGCCGATTCTGTCACTCAGCTCTGCGACCTTTGCAGCTGCCGTGGATGACACCTGATGCGAGTCGTCAAAAGCCTTGGCTTTCGTCAATGCATCCTTCCCCAGATCATATCCTTTGGCGATCATTGTTGTGACAACTTCCTGTGCAAGTGTCACAGCTTCACTCGGAGAGGAAACCATAGGCATCGCATGAGTAGCCTGTCCATGGGGAAAAAAAAAGTCAGAGATATCAGAGTGTGAGCATAAAAGTTCAGAACCTAGAGAAAAGAAGCCATAAAGTTTTTCTTATCGTGCAAAATCATCAGCTTCACCTAGAGATGTGCACTCTATTCACAATCTGGTTTCGCAGATGATCGAGTTATGCACTGACCAGACTACAGCACGACTATACAAACTTCTTAAACATTACAGTCGGATGATGGGCTCTAAAGAAGCAAGTGGGAAAATAAGTTTCAATTTCATTTTGGCAATTGTTCTTGAATTTTCTGTGAGCCAACAAATTTACAAATCATGGGCTCATTAGCCTTGACTAAATTGATTTGATTTCCTATTCCATCACTTCAGAAACATCCCAAATTCAACATGAAAGCTTTTGGCATTCTGTCCATTTGATGAGCATAAGCTCCTCAACTTGTTGCATGAAGCACTTTCACATAGTTGTGCACACAAGCAGATACGTCACTTTTCTTTTTCTGCTGCATGTATATATCTCAGACTAGTAAACAGCATACATGATCAACCAAACTATGCATCTTCATTTGATCATGAGTCCAAGCCTGCAGATTTTTTATTTCGTAAACTGAACCAGCAAATCATCGTTACTGGTAAAAGTGAAATGTTTCAAGTACCACAACACCAGTGACATCATCAGACTTCTGCGAAGGACCAGTCCAAGGATCTGACTCATCTATAAATGCTCCCCAGCGTGAAATGCCTACACGTCGGTCCCCAATTGTAGCTCCCTGACAAATCATATCAGTAAAAGGTGCTTGAAGGGTTAGGTGAAAGCAAGGTTTTATATGAAGAAACAAGAATTTTCGAAGTTTACCCCACAGGAAAAGCTACCCAATGTACTTACAAAGAACTAATGTACTACATGCAACACCAGTATCAAACCTCTATGGAAGAATAAGAATTGAGTGGGTCAAGCACCATAACACTTCAAGACCAGGGGGTTTTCAACACTAATTTCAAAAAAAAAAGAAAAAAGAAACTCCAGTTAGTTTTCTTTCTTCAAGGCAGAGGGGTCACTCACACTCAGCAATAGAGCAGTCTCCAGAGCATAAGCATCCTTGAAAGTCACATAAGCCGTACGAGCATATTCACCAGACCTAGATTTTAAATCAAACATAACTTATTAAGATGAAGATGCAATGTCACTCTAGCAAAAACTTAAAGGAAGACTTGAGAGTCATAGACATTGTCTCACTATCAATGAGATGCAAATCACAGAATGGCATACTATTAAAACTCTCGAACACAAAAAGTGTAGCGCCAAATTGCTCTCTAATGGGGAAAAAAGAATTAATTAACCCATCAATAAGTCTAAGTGTTGCAAGTCGCAACCTTCAAAAAGCAAAATTCTGAACATGTATGTTCACATGTTAAGATGAATAATGAGATCCTTTGGGAATACCTTGTCATTCATAATTTTAATAACAAAATTATTATGAATCCTGAAATATTTCATCAAAGTATTTTCTATCAGATGAATGTCTGGGCTTGAGTAAGAAAATAGCAGCTAGCCTCCTTGGTGGACACGTCAGACACACAATTGAGGAACTGCAATGAAAAATGCTAGGTCTTCTCTGACCTCGAAAAAGATAATCTACAATGCTTGTGATGGATTTAAAATATGTCACTTTTGAGTGCCCATCTATAATAGATTAGGCAAAAATAATGGAATACTAATCCAGCCCTTTTTCCACTGATTACTGTTAACTGGTGGTACTGAGCATCCAAAAGAGACAATGCCAGCTCTGCGGGACTCTTATTAGAACCATGGATCCTCCATGATGTCAAACTAACAGATCAAGTCAAGCAGGCTGGGGGAAATGTGCAGAATAACATCCCTCATTCACATAAACAGAGCTTGTCTTAGAAATCAAGTCAATGACATCCACAAATGTTTTATCTTTCTGTTTCATATAAGAGGCAAAATATAATGAATAGTAATGTAGAGATCAAATGGGGACCAAAATCAGCACGTTTTCACTGATTACTCATAACTACTAGCACTGAGAATCCAAAATGAGACAATGCCTATGGATCCTCCATGATGTTTATCGAGTCAAGCAGACTAGGGGAATTGTGCAGAATAACATCCATTATTCACATAAACAATGCTTGTCTTAGAAATCAAGTCAATGACATCCACAAATGTTTTATCTTTCTGTTTCATACAAGACGCAAAAGATAATGAATAGTAATGTAAAGATCTAAAGGGACCAAAATTCAGCCCTTTTTCACTGATTACTCATAACTAGTAGCACTGAGCATCCAAAATGAGACACTACCAGCTCTGTGGGACCCCAATTAAGGCCATGGATTCTCCATGATGTCAATCTAACAGACTCATCAAGTCAAGCAGGCTGGAGGAAACATAGTCTTTCATCCATTATTCAGATAAACAAAGCTGAAGTCTTAAAAATCAAGTCAATGACATCGAAAAATGTTTAATCTGTCTCTTCAATATAAGACACAGGAAAATATGAGTACAGCGGATGCCATTAGCATTGTTTCCATGTTTATTTCATCCAGCCACATACATCAATAAGAAACAATTAGCTTAAAAGTCTGCTCTTAGGTTGAAAGGTGCTAAAGACCAAAACCAGTTATAAAATTTCTGACATGAATGATGGTATTAAATAAGCTATGAGAATAAAATATGATGGAAAGGAACCTTATTATTTCAACGTATTCAATCGCACCGCAATGAGCAAAAAAATCATAAACATCCTTTTCTGTAGATCTTGGTGATAAGCTTGTGATTTCAGCCGTATAACCACCCGGATACATGGTTGTGAAATCTTGAAAAAGGACGGCAGTAGGTTACAATGGACCTGGACAAAGTCAAATAAGCTCATGAGCCTTCATATATGATCAGGTCCTTCTAGGAATGCTAATTCAATTGAACACTACATTTCCCATATATAGGCACAGTAAGCAAACCCATGACAAGAGACATGCAGGCGCATAATGTGCACCGGTGATGGCAGAGATTTGCTTATTCTAGACAACTGGTGGTACATGGTTTTAGCATATCGAGACGTGGCCAATTAACATAAGGTTAATGCTCTGTAGTGCTTCCCGAAGCTTCAATCCTTTGTCGGCATGCACCATAATGAATGCAGAAACTGCACAACTCATCGGTTTAAGATTTGACTTTGATCGGCCATAAGCAACATAAATATTTGTATGGTCTTAGTCTATCCTGGACAGGATGGATAGACCAATTACTGTGTAGAGATCAAGGAGGTCTATTTTCACTGTAGTACTTGGTGGTTTTATATGTAGCTCGATTGAATAAACCAATATCATGCAAGTGTCCCTCCGCTCATGTAGGGATTGTAGGGAGCACTGGAAAAGGGCTTTGACTAGCATTTACAAACTATTAGCTTTGAACAATGTCAACAGTTATAAGCCACTGATACCACAAGTTACGAAATCACATGCTCATTCACCTTATGATGGTGAAGTTCCTCTTAACTACCTGGAAGAATCAAATGAAATAATTCATGACAAAGATGCCAGAATAATTCCACTACAATTTCAAAAGTGCCAGTCATTTCTATTCAAATTCTTAAAAATAAATGAAACTAGAAAAGCTCCCAGAGCTCACAGATCATGTTTAAGAAAATCCAATGTCTACTTATAATTGATCACCAGTGCTGGGCAAGAAATGTCCGTCACTTAGCCAATTCTCCTGTTTCCGTCGGCTAATTTTAAATACAATTAATCTCAAGAAAACTCTATTCTTTCTTTCCAGCATCATTCACGCTGATAAAAAGTGTTCATTTCTATCTTGCCTAAGAAAGCAGGTGGTATTGGGTGTTTACATAGAAAGTTTCCTCTCCCTTCATTCTGCTCATAAAGATGTCTGCCATGAGCAACGAGCATCAAAGAAAGCGTCCCTCCACGTAACTAAAGGCACTTGATATTACAACAATCGACCGAGTTCACCATATTCAACACCCAATTCAGAGCGCACCACATTACTCCATATACTGATTTTGTCGACCACCGTTAGTTTATACCTAGCATTGCTGTTCTCAAGTCAACCAAGCAGAATTAGTAAAGGAATACTACGGTCAATGTTTCACAATCGACACTGAAAGAGCCATCTTTCGAGTTAAGCAAGAACAGGCCAAACAGTCGGGCGAACTCAATCCGCAACAGACGCAAACCAGTAAAGATCAATCTGCGAATCCCATGATTCTGATATACAAAGGGTGGGGAAAAGATACACTCAATTCGCTTAATCCCAAGAATCTCAATCAGTCCAAGTCAAACATGAAAAAAGCTTGAACCACTTTGTTTCTTAGAGCGATTGGACATACTTCTTGTACAGAAAAGAAAGAGCAGAGGAAACCCAAAACAGAAACAGAAACCAATGGATCAAACGAATTCGCCGTTCATCAACCGTGAAAGAACAAGAACAAGAACATAGAATAATCAATACCTCGTCTTTTCCGAAGGAGCGAGAGAGAGAGAGGAGAGAGAGAGAGAGGGAGAACATATGACAGGCAGTTGGCAAAACAGAGTGCGAGATTTCGCGCGAAGAACAATGACAAAGAGCCACGCGCAGTTTAGCGCGTGTGCCGACGAACCAATACAGTTGGCTATGCCGGATTACTCTCAACCAGTTTTCAGCTTCCTTACATTTGGCACGATGAAAAGGACCATACAATAGAAGGAGGAAGGAATGGAATGATAAAAGGATCCCAATTTCTTATATTAATTTAGATAGATTAATTTTTCAATTCGTTAATAGACTTGCATCTAATTAAAATCATATTTTTATAGCACGGTGATTTTAATTGGATTTTTATAAAAAATTATCAAGTATTTATTCAAATATAGAAAGTAATAAATAAGCATTCATATTAATAACGAATAGTTTTAATTATTTAAATAAATTTGACGATCGTATTTTTTTTATAATCATAATATTTGTGGGGCCAACAACGAGGGGAATGATTCATAATAATAGTTTATGAGTTATTGTTTAGTTATCACCATAATTAAAGGTAAGCATGATAAGGACAAGTACAATATATTATTAGCTTAATAAGAATATCATGTACTTTATTGAATTTTCCGTCTCGTAATTGTGTCATGTGAATTTTGCATTTGAATTAATGTTTGCACACACACTTTCACACACAAATAGAGTCACGCTAAATCTACTTTCCTCTTGTGAGTGTTTAAGTGGCCTTTTCTTTCTGCTCACATCAATGGATGCATGAAGAACATCTTGGTATTGATCAATTTGATAGAGTTATTACCACGAAAACCCCAAACTAATATACCTGTGACAAATTTAGATGGAAACCCCATGAACTTAGTTCAAATTGAGTTCAATTTCTTTCCTAAAGGGTTAATCTTCCAAGACTTAACTAATTCTAATACTAAAATCTAACAACCTAATGAAGGCCTAATTAAGGACAGAGGCCAGACCTTCGAGCCCGGTCGACGTATAGTCAGAGGTGGAGTTTGCAAGTCCAAGTAGCAAAAGTAAATGGACTCATTCGCTATTTCTATTCCCACTAGAACCTCACAAGCCCAACTTTAAATACAAATTCGCCCAAACCCAATTTTTATCAAATCATACAAGGCCCACACTAATCCATCTTCTATGACAACTTCATCAAGTCTAAAGTAAGCCCATCTATTAATATCCTTTTTTTTTTCTTCGACCCATTTTTTTTATCTCTTTTATTTTATTATATTATTTTGGGTCTTTTCCACCGTCTTCTTCACTGCACAGAGGCCTTCGTCGTCTTCTTCACAATACAGAGGACGCAACCAAAACACCGTCGAAGATCCATCTTCCAAATCATCAAAAAATGTAAATATATCATCACCACTGATCCATCTATACTCGTTATCAAACCTCCACCATTGTCAACCACATTCATCTGTCACCATTAGTTTGTGAGATTTTGTGAGACCATTACCAACTATTCTAAAAGCTTATTCCCTTTCACGCTTAGTCTAGTCTTTTTGTCTAGTACTAAATGTGGAAATATTTAATTGAAGAGGCTAATGGGGCCTAGAAAGATTTGAATTCAGGATCTCCAACTCCGATATCATGTGAAATTTTGTGAAACCACTATCTACTATTCAAAAAGCTTAAGCTATTAGATGAATGCGTAGTTTAAGATTTAATTATTCTAACATAGTTACCAACACACGCTAGCCACAACCTCCACAGAAGCATAGAACAAAGACAGAGACACACTTGGATAAAAGGACATGATGAACAAACCGGTGCCACTGAGCTTAGAAATTAACACTCGGATCGTCGTTTTTGTTGGGAAAATTATGTTTTGAAGATGACAAAATAATCAAAGGGTACTAATTGATTAACCCTCAACGGCTACCTTAATCTTCTCAACAATTGTCCAGCAGCTAGATTAGAGATTGATCTTCTAAAAGATTTTTCCTTTGAAGATCCCTCATGAAATATTCACGGCCAATCTCTATCTTTATCTCTAAAATCTTCTTACTTAAAAGCTTCACTAGTTAATCTTTAGAATCCGAGTACTCCTCAAAATCCCCCATTTTGACTTGCTACCAAATTAAATATTAAAATTTAAACTCAGCCAGCTCAATTTGATTGAAATCTTTGATCAAAGTTTCATCCAAATTTCTGCGGTTTTTGGGATATAAGACAAGTACCCATAGCAGACTCCTTGCAAACACGCCTAATGCTCAACATGCTAATCTAAAATACTATTAGTGCCTAAATGCAAAGAAATACTGAAAAATAATGCAAATTGAAACAATGCAATATCAATATTTTGTTTTGGGGGTTGAGATCGATTCATAATTTTCTCATGTAACAGATATATAAATGTGTCGTCAAAATTTAGGTATCAACGGAGGTTCAAATCCAGTTTGTTTCTAGGCTCTACCCAAGAATTGGTCTTAGAGGTTCCAGGTTTCCAGGTAGAGCCAGCGGGCTCAGGATATAGAATCGGGAACTGTATTGGTCAAGACTGGTTCCCAATTTCGGAATCGGGAACCTAAATGGTCCCCTTATGAATTGGCCTTGAATTGGGCCGCTTCGAGCCAGTTGCTCCCTCCTATACCGTTGGTTTCCTTTCGGCGTAAGGAACTGGAAATTACTCGTAGTTATGTAGCTTACATATAGATACTCCTCAGCTCCTTGCCATCTCTGTTTTATATTTTGAATTTTCTGTCAACAAGATTAGGTTATGAGCGCACAAACATATAATTAGTTAGCGTGGGCATGTTTGTAAATGCAGTGTCAAATAACTAACTAACCAAACAAAATTTCAAACATGTTTTTCGGCGTATGTAATGTTGACTTAAGGAAACATTTAAGAAAAATAAATGACGGCAAAAAAGTTAACCATCGGCATAATAAATGATTTGAAAAATATTTTCCTAAAAGACTCCGTTTGTTTTGCGAAAAACATTTTCTGAGAAAACATATTCCTCATTTTCCGGCGTTTGGATTACTTAGTAAAATAAGTCGATAGAAAATGTTTTCCGAGTCAACAGAAAATCCATGCTTAAATTTGGGAAAATGATTTTCTGTTTAAAAAATTGGAAATTATTTTCCAAAATAAGATTGGATATCGGCGTTTCGACCAGAAACTCTGTACTTGGGCACGAGGTACCCAACGCTTGTTCTCAAGACCTAGGTAGTTGACTCGTGTCTAAAGGTTGGGGCTAGGGGTAGGACCATAAAAGTCCATCGAGGCAAAGCCCAGGTTTGCAAAGGCGAGGCCCGAGACCTTGGTACCCATGCCCATGCTTGTGTCTAGGTTATCGGCACCCTTGCCCAAGTCCATCAAGGCCAAGCCAGGGTTCCTGGCTCCCGGGTCGAGGTCCATCGAGGCCAAGCCAGGGTTCTTGGCTCCCGGGTCGAGGTCCATCGAGGCTAGGCTCGAGACCCAAGTACTCATGCCTGGTTCCCCGATGTTTGCATCCCGATCCATTGAGATTGGGCCCGAGACCCCGGTGCCCGAGCCCAATTTCAACAAGGCCTAGTTCGGGTCCATTGAGGCTAGGCTCGAGACTTCGGTGCTTGTTGTCAGGTTCCGAGGCACTTAGGCTCGTGTCCATCAAGGACGAGCCCAGGTCCCCTAGGTCCAATTAAGACCAAGCCCTAGAACCCGATAGCTGTGCCCAAGTCCCCCTAAGTACATCAAGGCTAGACTCGAGACCCTGATATCAGTACTTGAGTCCATCTAGGTTGGGCCCATTCCTAGGTGTCGGTGTCTAGTTCTCCTAGTTCTCGTGCATAGGTCCATCAAGGTCGGGCTTGGGACCCCGGCGCTTGTGCCCGAGTCTTCGACACCTGTCGCTTGGTCTATCGAGGCTGGGCTTGGGTCCTGGGCACTGTAGCCTTGGGTCTATTGCAATCGAGCCTCTGATCCGGGGTGCCCGAGTTTTTGGCGCCCGCGCCCGAGTCCATTGAGCTAGGCCTGGGTCCCTAGTGCCCGTGCCCAGTTCCTCACTCCTAAGCCTGGGTTCCTGGGCGCTTGCGCCTAGGTCCATGGAGATCGAGTCCCTAGCGCTTGCATTTGGGTCCATCGAGGCTTGACTCGAGACCCTAATACTCATGCCTAAGTCCTTGGCACCTAGGTCCATCGACAACAGGCCGAAGACCCCGATGCTCATGCTCGAGTCCCTAGTACCTAGCCTCGATGGACCTGGGCTAGAGTGCTCGGACCTGAGCTCGGGCACAGGGACCAGGGTCTTAAGCTCGACCTCGATAGACTTGTGCCCGAGTCTAAACGAGGCCGGACCCGAGGCATGGGTACTAAGGTTCTGGGCCATGGCCCCAATGGAACTAGGCTTGGCCATAGGTAATCTAGGCACGGGCACTGGGGTGTCGAGCCCAAGAGCCAGGAACTCGAGCACAGGCACCAGAGTCTTGAGCCCAGCCTTAATGGACTTGAGCCTAGCCTCTATGGACCCAGGCCTGAATGTCGAGGACCTAAGCCTAGCTATTGGGGACTCAGGCATGGGCATTGGGGTCCTAGACTTAGCTTCGATGGACCAGGGTTCGAGTGTTAGGGACCCGGGCAAGGACACTAGGGTGTTGAGCTCGGGCATTGGGATCCCACACTCGGCTTCTGTGGACGACCGGTACCCGTGCTCATGCCCAGGACCCACATACCCGTGCCTAGGTTGGGGTTTATCGAGGCTAGACTCGCGATCCCAGTGCCCCAGCCTGATTCCCCGACCACCTGTGTGTAAGTTACTGGCACCCTGATAGTGTATGCCCTACTTAGGAAAATCAAATCAAATTCCAAATGATGGAAAATGTTTTCCCGTTCTTTTTTAGATTTCAATCAAATATCGGAAGATATTGTGATTTTCTAGAAAATGACTTCTTATAAAACATTTTCTAGAAATGTAATATTTTTCGCGAAATAAACGGAGCCCGCCTGTCTTTCTTTCCCGTGTCACACTCTTGTATAAGACGACGACGCCCAGTTCGCCAGGCATGCTCAACTCCTTTCCCACCGTTTCCACAGGGACTTGGGAAGGCAGCCACGACCGGTGCTACCAACTCAATTTCATCTGTGATGGAGGTTCCTTTCTTTCTCAAGTTTTGCAAGGTCAAATTTTCTTTT